GTTGTTAAATAGATGAAATAGAAAATGTATATGTCTTACAATTAAGTTATATATATATAGGACAATCATATAAGATGTGTATATAACAAACAATACAAATACATCAATATTACATTACAAACATTTATTTAGAACATGCGCTTCGAATTCACTTAGGATATAAAAAGCATTGGTTGCCAGAAGCATCTTGACATATTTCTTAAATTGCTTGGTAGAAAGGTTCTTTAAGCTCTACGGGAGCATATTATAATAGTGTGGCTCTGCATAGCCTAAAGATCTTCTACAAACTGTGATTCAGTTTAGGCTTAAAGAGATTTTCTCTGTTACGAGTGTAGTGGTGAATGGTTGTGAATGTGTTTCTTATGTAAATGTTTATTTTTGTGTGTAACTAGCAATATTTTAAAAAGGTATATACAAGGAACCGTCATTATTTTGTGTTGCGGAAATATTACTTTGGAAGACTGTCTCGGAGAAAGTTTAAAAATTAGCCTAAGTATTCTTTTTTGCTGTACAAAAACTCTTTCAGCATCACTAGCTTGCCACCAGTTCACAATGTTGTAAGAAATTGAGGAGTATGCCGAAGCATAATACAAGACTAATAGTGATCTCTCAAGAAATGAGTCTCTAAATGTTAATAAAAGAATGTTTTATTCAGTTTGCTACAAACACTATTTATGACTTGATCCCACCTCAAAGATGCATCAATGTGGGAGCCAAGAAATCTTGTGTTCTGACTTTTTTCTAAGGATGTTCCAGAGAAACTAAAGGATAAGTTATGTAAAGGTCTAATGTACTGGCCAGTAAATCCAACCACAACTATTTTCTCTAAATTTATGATTAAATGATTTTCATTGCAAAATTTATTAAACTGTTCAACAGAGACAGCTCCTGCGTGTTATTCCCGGAGACCAACAAGGACGTGTCGTCCGCGTACATGAAAACTCGACAGTTACTGTTAAAGATTTCAGGTAAACCGTTGTCGTATAGGAGAAAAAGTAATGGCCCCAAAATGCCCCCTTGAGGTGTGCCCAAGTTAACATCATATGGATCCGAATATGTTTCGTTTACTTTTACACTTATTTTTCTTTGATTCATATACGACACGATCCAGTTATTAATAGGCCCTCTTATGCCTAAATATTCCAGCTTTTCCGACATTATAACCAAATTTAATGAGCCGAAAGCGCGCGATAAATCGAAATACACTACGACGTGAAACACCCTTCGCGGAAACTATGTTACACGTTTGAAATTATTTTTTTCTTGCTTCAATAAATTCTGAATTCGGTTGTACATCGCCTTCTCTAATATTTTAGATAAGCAACTTGCTATTGTTATAGGTCTATAATTATCGCTTAATGTGAAGCCTTTTTTGAATACTGAGATCACTTTAGAATTTTTTAACGCTGAGGGAAATTGTCCAAACGAAATTGACTCATTAATGATTGTTGTTAAGTACGGAACTAGAATATCACAACATGGCTTTATAAGTCGTATAGAAATTTCGTGGAAACCAGAAGATCTTTTGTTTTTCAGCAAATGAATTAGAGCCGACATTTCCTCATCGGAGTACGGTATAAAAACATGCTTTTTTCCCTAGTAGGCATAAAATAATAATACATGCATTCTGTACAAACCATAGACAAAGTCACAACTAACCAAAAATCTGAGATGTTGAAAACAGTGGGAAATGTGATAACACTGCTGTTAGCATTTTTGAATTCTGTGTGGTGAAAAACCACCAGGTAGTGAATGTTGCCGTTCCAGGTTTGGCTATACTTAAGGGTTCCAGTACTTTTTACTGAGAAAGCGGGACTACCGTAGTTCAGTAATTAATAGAATCAAAATTTTTAAATTATGAAATCTTACTAAAATAGACATGCACAATTTATTGCAACAAAAGTAGATAGAGTATTCCAGAGTGTTCCAGTTTTGGTAATTTTGGAGATATTTAAGAGCTCCGGTATTTTTTACTACGAAAGCGGTATTGTTGAGTAATTAATAGAAACAAAATTTCAAAAATTATAACACGTTGCTAAATTCGACATGTGAAATTCATTGCAACCAAAATAAATAGAGTATTCCATTTAAAATATGACAAAATTATGAAGTGTAACGAAAAAGTGGTAAATCTGACGACATTGCACAGCATAACAACAAAATACAATTTTTTTTACTAACTAGACTAAAAAGTAAAATAGGGTGCGCTGAAGATCTGCTGTTGCCTATTTGACGAGTAAAACGGGCCCTAATTTTTCAAAGAAACTTCCATAGGTTATTGCAATACTTTTTACAAAACTTCTGGATTCCTCCTGCGTTGGTTTTTGCTGAATCGAAATTGCTGACGTTTCGCCAATCATCCTGTTGGCTTCTTCAGAGCTTGACCGAAACTGGCTCGTATTTTACTCTGTACCTGCTTATATATTGTTGGAGGGGGGCGGAGTTAAATGAAGGACATAAACACCGTCTCGGATAACTGATGCCCAAATTGGTGACAGGTAGAGACCTGAGTCGCGGTTAAGATTGTTAGGTTGTTTATACATTTCTATAGACTCTCGTAATCAGTTCTCGGTTCTTCTCTCAACATCTTCGATCGGGCAAAGACAAAATTCCATTTGAGATGCCAGGAGTTTACAGCATGGATATACGGCAAAGAATACATTGGAAAGACTGGACGAAAAATATCAACTAGGCTCAAAGAACATGAAAGTACCTTAAGACATATTAACCCATCAGCAGTTGCCGCACATAATCACGAAACCGGACATAAAATCGTATTCATCAGTTCCTCTACAAACGAAAAATCCTAACGTCTATAAAAATCTTTAAACAACCTAACAATCTTAACTGCGACTCAGGTCTCTACCTGTCACCAATTTGGGAATCGATCATCAGAGACGATGTTTATGCCCCTCATTTAGCTCCGCTCCCTCAAACAATATATAAGCAAATACGAGTAAAATACGAGCCAGTTTCAGTCAAGCTCTGAAGAAGCCAACAGGATGATTGGCGAAACGTCAGCAATTTCGACTCAGCAAAAAGCGACGCAGGAGGAATCCAGAAATTTTGTAAAAAGTAAAACAGGCCCTGTTTTTCATCTTAAGCGGAGAAAATATGAATTATGGAATAAACAAATAAGTTTGAATTATGGACTTTTATTGATTTTTGAATCGTTCAAATTTTCTTTTTAATCCTACGTTTTATGTTTATTTTTATTAATTTTTTAATATTTATTACTGTTCTCCAGTTGAAGAACACTGTTCTTATAAGAGAGAGTCTTTTAAAGTTTTTTTGGACTGTGACAAAGCTTGCTGAAGTGAATCCGAATAGTTACTGTACATTTTACTGATTTGAAAAGAAAATGATCTTTTAAAAAATTCTGTTTTGTGTCTTTGAACTCTGAGCCTATGAAGGTATCTTAATTGGCAGTCTTATCATACAGATAGGTTGGCTTTATATTTAATTCATGAAACAGACACGCTACACCACCAACTACTTGATTTTAGGGCCACATAATTTATAAGAAATACGTCGTTTTCGTCTGATACCACGAATGAGTCTTAGATATAAATTTGGCACTTTCTGAATTCTATTTTAATTTTTTACCTGGTTTTTTTATAGCTGTATTCGATCTGCTGCTTCACATATATCATTGGTCAAATTTGAGAGTACAGTTTCACAACTAAAGTTCTTCCTGAAGCCACTTTGATAAAATTTTGCTTCTGCTTTTCAATTACCCTTTCTAATATTTTTGATAGGGTACAAAATATGCTGGCAGGGCGAAGATCTTTAAATTCCTGCGGACTACTGCATTTTGGCAAATGGAACAATTACATGATTCAATGAGCTCGAAAAAATATCAGATGTCACACTACAGTTTACTAAGTGCGTAAGGATAGTTAAAATGTGTGGACAACACTTAAGAATCATTTTTAAGTTTACAAAATCGGACCCGCTAGCATTAGATTTTGGAACATAGAGTTTTTTTTTCAGTTTCATTATCTTTGACATTCTGAAATTCAAAAATAACATTAGGAATGTGATTGGCGTATGATTCTATAGTTTTCTCACTAATAGGTAATGTTGTTATGTTGCCCAAAAAAGAATCAATTACTGAATTGATATCAGATAAATGTGACGGTATTGTAGATTTCCTTTTTCCGATATTAAATGACTTCAGATTTGCCCACATTTTTGAATTCAGTATGTTCAAAAACCACGAGGTATTGAATTTTATCCTGCCAGCTTTGGCAGTTTTGGAGATATTTAAACGTTCCGGTATTTTTTACTATATAATAAATAAGGTATTCCATTTAAAATAGCAAAATTATGACGTGTAACATAAAAGTGGTCAATCTGATGACATTACTGATAGCATTTTTGAATTCTGCATGTTCAAAAACCTCCAGGTATTGAATTTTGTCATTCCAGCTTTGACAGTTTTGGAGATATTTAAGGGTTCCAGTACATTTTACTGGAAAAGCGATGTTGCCGTAGCTCAGTAATTAATAGAAACAAAATTTTAAAATCATAAAAGCATATTAAAATGGACGTGCGTAATTCGTTACCACAAAAATAGGTAGGGTATTCCATCTAAAATAAAAAAATTATTACGTGTAACGTAAACGTTGTAAATCTGACAACATTGCTGTTAGCATTTTTGAATTCTGCACGTTCAAAAATTATTGAATTTTATAGTCTAAGTATTTTTTACTACGAAAGCGGTGTTGCCGTTATTGTAAAGAAAATTTTGAAATTATGCCACCTTACTAAATTCGACATGCGGAATTCATTGCAACAACAACAAATAGGGTATTCCACTCAAAATAACAGAATTATGACGCGTAGGTTAAAAGTTGTAAATCTGACAACATTGCTTGCGAGAGGTATTCAATTTTATCGGTCACTTTTTACTAACCCGGTTTGTATTTACAGCAAAATAAAAAAAAGGTCATTACATTTTACAATAGGTATTTTTTCCATGCAAAAAGCACACTTACCTTCTCCTCTTTAGGTTCCCAACTAACCGCGGCATCCGCGTTATCATCCGTCGTTTCGATGTCCACTTCGTTGTCGCTCTCTTCGTCCTTCTGCGACGACGATTTCTCAACAATCGATTGAACTGGTTTAAAAGCCGACTGGTAACTCTTATCGATGGGGAAAAACGGATTATCCTGAGGAAATAGAATAGGGTTCCTTTTAAGCCACGGAAAGGACGTGTATGTGGAAAACGCCAGAGGTTTGTGGTAAATCAAATCCATCGCAACTCTAGAAATGGGCAACGAAATATCCTGACAGTTTGCTATTCGTGGCGATGGAACGATGGGCTGGTTCTGAGTTTCGATTTTATTTTGTTTCGACGAGTTGGACATAACCGAAGATGAAAGAAGACGTTTCCTGGTACCACCGTTGAACATAGCTTTAACGTCCTCCCACGCATGTACGATTTCTTCGGGAGGACTACCGCTTAATTTCATATGTCTCCTCCAAGAATTAAAATTGGCGGCGTCCGGCTGCACATATTTATCATTGGCCGTCAAGTGGTGAGAATGAAAAATAAATTTATTCGGCGAGAAAAACAATCCGCAAACCGAACATTTGATACATTTCGCCCGTGAGGAATTATAACGGGAGGGTAAAAAGGATCCACGACAACCCCATGCGCATTCGTGGTGAACGGCAAAAGCGAAATCGTCTGGTAATCGAGGAGGAGCGTTATCGCCCAAGAAACTTTTGCACAACCTTTCCGCTTCGCGCCGTGTAATCATGCCACATCTTCTTGAAGATACTGGCATTGCACCAGCCCGTCGAAGAATTTCTAGTTGAACAGGCGTACACTGAACGCAAGTGATTCCTAGAGCCACTCTCCGGTTGTGTATTTCGTTGTAACTGAACTGTTTTAATAAAGTATTTGATATTTGCGCCAAACACAAACGTTCTTGGTTTTCTATGACCAACGATACTATGGGCACTCCGTACAATACTACAGTCGATACCTGAAACTGTGTTAGAATTATTTTTAAATATATAGTGATCGGCTAAAATTTGGAAAAAATTCCACACATAATTTTTTCTTGTGCATTTTTTGCAGTAAACAGAAAATATATAGGGTTACAAACTTAAACATTTTTTAGAAGTTGAGTGCATCTTCTGGAGAGCTTGAAATAATAATGTTAGCTTTGCTTGTACTAAAAGAAGATAAGTATCATCCGTACAAGTTTACGAAAAAGAAATGTGCAGCTTAAATCCGTTTTTTTCATCACCAAATGATACTGTTTAGTGATTAAGCCACGCTTTGTGTAAGTTGTAAATGAATGAAAATCATACACAATATCCACAAGAAATAAATATTTGCGCAGAGATTTTGTATAACAAAATTATTGGGTCTTACTGGAGCCCGATATTTATTATTTCTTTAAAATGACTTTCCTACAGTTTCTTTCTCAAACCTGATTTGTCTGATATGCCAGATAGTTTCCCGGGCAGTTGATTAGTAGAAGGGAATCAATAGATTGGCCTGCAAGATCTCCAGATATTACTGCACTTGATCTTTTCCTCGGGGAATATTTAAAATCAAAAGTGTAAAAGGAAAACCACAAAATTTCGATCATTTAAAATTTGGAATTAGATACGAAATAACGCAAATTAATGAAAACATCCTTACTAATGTTTTGGTTAGTTTTGTGAATCATCAAATTTCCAATGTCTAATAAAAATTAAAATTTCAATTTTCCGAGTTTCATATAGTTTCTTTACCGACAGAAATGTAATCGTGACAATTTAAGAAATTCCAATGGTATTTCAAAATTAAATTTCTGCTTTTTATTCTTTTGCTCATAAAAAGTAAGATATAAATATAGGATATGCTATATGAATTATGCGTAAAATTTAATACAAAATTGGAAAATGGATTTTAAAAAATCCTGTTCCATTAAAAAAAAGAAACTTGGTATCGACATGTTTTTGACACTCCCTGTATATTTCCTATTTGCTGCATTAAATGCAAAAGAAAAAAAATAAATGAAATGGATTTCTTGCTATTTTAGCTGTGGACCGTATATCTATATGAGCTTGTCACTATATTTCGTTTCTTAATGCGAAACTTATCGTTCGCATACGATACGGGGTTACTACATACAGTTTATTAGAAGAATAAATATAATAACACATGATTATAATCATATAGATGGGCAAATAATTGAGATATTAATTATTCTAACATCCTATGGGTGGAATGAAATGAATGTTGTTGACTCCAGTCATATTCGAACACATACCAACTAGTTTTGAAACTACGGCGGCAAAGGGCTTTGAACACATTGAGAATCATAATTTTCTCATTATAGAAAGCGCAGTTTTACTAATACGTTTTTCAACAACAAATTCAGAAAAACTAGCCAACAACTGCCGTAAAGTAGCTATAATTCTAATTTTAAACACAGACACAAGTAGGCCCTGTGCGTCTACCTGCCACTCTCGAGATCCTTGGCATCATAAGGCTAAAATCACTAAGTTTTACAGTTCAACTCTCTCGCATTAGGAAACAGAATATAGTCGAATATCTTAGATTGGTTGTAAAAGTTTGATTCAAAATACCTGGTTTGTTTTTGAATTGATTTCTTTTTTCAGCGGCAACGCACTTACAGACTGTTCCGCCATTCCTGGCTTTTGAGGATCCATTTTAAAGGCAGCCATGTAATACGAACGCGCGTATAACGACTAAAACACAATTTTGATTTTTTAGATTTTTCTACGAGGCGTGTCCAAAATTTCAAAAATCGAATGTCCGTTCGAGGTAGATACGAGTAAATGGGTACAGGTTAGGAGTTAATTAAATAATCAATATAGTGAAAGAAAAGAAACCCAAAATTATTATCAGTAGTCCTTTAAAAACTGTTTTGTATAATTTTGAGGGCATTGTGAGTGAGGAGTAATCGTAAAACCAGAAAAATTTAAGATGGCCTATTTTTAATAATCTGAAGACACCTTTTTTTTGTTTTCTAGCGAATTTTCCAGAAAGTAGCATTTAATTATATTTTTTCACGAAGAACGAATAAATTAGAAATAAACGAGCAAGTGTTTTAAAGTCGGTTTTCTTCTGAAAGTGCCTCTTTTATTATATATTAAAAAATAACACTTGAGGTGTGTAAACATTTTTATGTAAGATATTTAATTTATATAATCTTTGCATGTATTTTAAATTCTTGATAAAGATCTACACTGTGATCGAAGCGTTCAATAAAACATAACAATCTAAAGAATTTTGATAATATTGCGCCCTTAATATCGCGTTTGTTCATACGGACTCATTTTTATTTCGTAAATAATTAATTAGGAACCATTTGAAGATGATAAGTGCGTATCATAAAAAGGAACTAGATAAAAAGCATTGTTAGCCATTTCTTTGGTTCATTTTGTAACATAAATATCAACAACTAACTTCAACTTTTGGATGAAGATATAGTTGGTATTTTTTGAGGGACGATGATGTTATATTTAAACATGTGAACTTTATTTTAAGCCTCAGATGTTCCGTTTCTTAAAATAAAGATATTTTTTTACTTGAAAACAAATGAAAAATTTAAAATAGAAAACGCACTCACAAGTAGCCGTCCCACTTCGAAAATTCCCACTTTTCACTCACCACTTCACACACATAGAACGCCGGACTGAAACAACCCTTAAGACGTCCAGAGACCGAATGACAATATAACGCAACGTGGTCTATCACCCTCTTGAAGCCACGCCTTAAATACTGCAAACGGGGTTGTGTTTACATTTCAACCCTCTAGTTTATCCAATAGAAGCGGCAGTTCGCGATTCCACATCAACCAATCCTTAACTGTTGACCAATGGTGTCTTAGGGTTGTCTTTATTAATATTAAAAAGCCAGGACTTGTGATTTATTTCGAATTTATTTTGTGGTGTTTAAAATATTCCCGATTTGTTGAAGTTGTATCGTTATCTATTTGAAACAGACATTGTATTTTTCTGACTGCTGCTATAAACGGCTGTCGAGAATTTCGGTAGTTTGATTTACCTACCTTTTATTTTCGATATCGTTTTAGGCTACTTTTCATTTTAAAAAATATATCTTCCAAATAATAGTCCGAAAAACTTTAATCGATTGTAATAAATGTTGCAAAGATTTGTTGACGATATATATGATCGACGAACGATTTTATCGCTTTTTGTTTTAGGTGGTTATTTCCTAATTAAAATGAAAACGTCAACTAAACTTAAATATTATTTAAAAAAGGAAGTTGCATTTCATGTAATTAAAGTGAGCTAGCTTAAACACGTATTATCGATAGCACATGCCCTTATGTCCAACTGAGATATTGAAATAATCCATTAAATTGATTAATTATAAAAGAGTGGTTCTGCAGTTTGCAAATGTAAAATAAAGTTTCAAAAAACACAACTTAAATTAAATGATTGCGTTTATAGTGATTATTCTTCTCTGTAAATTTTTATAAAACCGTTCAAAGTTTATGTTTTGTTTTCTTATAAAACATATATGTATGTATGACTTCTTCAGAGGTTGATGACCAAAATGGCAATCTTCACCTGGGAAACTGCAGATTGAAACAGTTCCGCTGATGGTATATTGCACCACATTTCAGCATCCTTTTCGGCAATTCTATGGAGAGATTACTGTTAGTTTAGTCAGAAATGTTCTCCTTTTGGAGAATACTTGTCGAACCTGTTCCATTTTGCTTTTAATTTCGCTGTCTTCTCTCCACTCTTCTGTGATGAAAGGACTTTGTTTTCTTGATATTCATTTCCAATCATTCTGCCAAATGTCCTCTTGTAGTAGTAGCACGCCTACCTCGCTTGGGTTTCCCTTTGTAACCCTCAATAAATAGATTCGTAATTCCACAACGACATTCCAGAAGCTGGCGGATTTATGTAGATGTTGAATCCATTCTTTGTTGATGGTATCGTGGCTATCAAATCAGGTCTCGTCTAAATAAATAATAAATAAATCTAAAATTTCTTGGATTTCTCTCAAATATCCTGTCCTCCACTCTGAAATTCTTCTTGATTCCATCAAAACTTGTCTCTTATTGATTGTTTTGTAATACAACCAATTCTTTGTAAGAACGCACGCAAAGTCTCTAGGCAACAGTCAATGTTCAAAATACTACGCAACTCTTCATGTAAAGTTTTAATTGTTAAAACAATATTCTTCTGATACGCATCACATATCAACCGTCTCCTCATTTTTCTTTCTTGGACACCATTCACAACTATGCCATGTACTGGTAAACAATAAATTGTAATAAAATGTATATGGTACCGCATTAAAAATGGCACAGTGCGTCTTGAAAAACAATTGAATAACAGTAAGTTGGTAATTACTAATTACAAATACAAGACGGAATAGAACTGACAGCAAACTCCGATTCCAGCAACCCCCAAAAATCAACAAAATATTTTAGTCATTATGTTTAAACCCTTAAATTGGAAATCAATTGAAGGTTTCTAATGTGTTTTTAATCCTTAACCCTTTAACCCCAACCTATCCAATGAGCAAATTCAACTTGAAATCGAACTACCTCAAGTAGGAACTGTTTTAGGAAGATTTATAAAAAGCACATTAATATGAATTAATATAACAGTTTAATCAAAGAAAATTTCGCTACTCTTCAAATAAACAGGCCGCACGGCACAGTTCTTGTCGGCTAATATCTTAAATACGACTCTGGCTTGTGGTACACGTGCTGAAAAGAATGATCCCTTCCGCTTTACAACAGGCGCGTCTTAAACTCATTCCGAAGTCAAAATCATAAAAGATTGTAAAAACGGTATATCGTCGGGTGAACTTTACCAGCACATTTTGATTTTAACATCTGGTACAATGGGGTTTCTGGTTGGAGTTCAGCTCCCTGACAAGCTTTCACTGATGATGATGACGCTGATTCTGTTTCTGTGTTCGTGATAATAAAACCTTTTTTCTTAAAGAATTGAATCAATATATCGCAATATTCCTTTCTTTGACCAAGGCCAAAGTGGCCCACTACGTATCCCAGTTTGCCGCAGCCTACTTTTGCTTTAAAATCTCTTGCGACAAGACAGATTCTTGCATGTATATATTTACGAAACTACATTTAATATTTTTTG